TGGCCCCAGGGAGACATGGCGGATGCAGCGGCGGGAGTGAGGAAGTTCAGCACCACCCAACAGCCTGCGGCGCCTCGCCCAGGCGAATGGGGCCCTCTCCCTGGCACTGGGGCGGCCCGCATGAGCCAGGGATGCGGGCATGCAGAGGCGGGGGCCGATGTGGCGATGCCGCCAGCTACGGCCCCCCACGAGCTCGACGGTGCAGCAGAGCTCCATCGCCGTGTGGCCAACCACCTCAAACGTCAGTTTGGCCGCTTCCCCCGCCGCGGCGGGGCGGGGCCTGGAGGAGGGCGCTACGAGCACTGGGCCCCGCTCAAGTATGACGAGGATGGGGCAGAGGCGGTGGCCAACGCGCTGGCACGCCTGGCCATCGGCGACCTCCCTCCCGAGGCGCTAGCCGCCCTGACGGCGGCGCGCCTCACAGGCATCCCCAAAGCACCCCCTGGGGATGTGCGAGTCCTGGGCCGTGGAAATGTCTTCCGCCGCATGGTGGGCCGCAGCGCTGCCGAGGTCCACCACAAAGACATGCGGACGGCGGTGGGGGACCAACAGTTTGGCCTTGCCAAGGACGGACGTGGCGCCCTCCATCGACGCCTATGCACGATGGCCAACTCGAGCCCAGGCAAGTGGGCGGTGGCGGTGGACCTCGGGGATGCGTTCAGCAACATCCCCCGCGACCAGGTGAAGGAGGCCGTGCGCACCAAGGTGCCCGCTCTGGCGCCGCTGGCGGAGGCCTGGCTCCCTGCTCGCACACGCCACGCGGCGGGGGGCGGGTCGCAACCCGCCCAGCTGGTCGACCAGATCCGCGGCCTCGACCAGGGCTGCCCGATGAGTCCAGGCTTTTACGCGCTCGGCACCGCGGATGTTCTCAGCATCGGTCGCATGGCCGTGCGTGCGGTGGGCGCGGAAGGGGACTGCCTGGCCTTTTTGGACGACGCGTACTTCGTGGGCACCGCGGCCGCTGTGTTCCGCGGCTTGGATGCCTGGCGAGCCCGCGTCGAAGCCCACGGGATGAAGCTGGAGATGTCCAAGACCCAGATCTGGTCCCCAGATCCCCAAGCTGTCTTGCCGCCTGAGTTTGCGGAGCACGCCCAGTACCGCGCCCAGAAGCTCAAGGCGGTGGGGCCCACCCTGGCCTACGCGAACCACGACGTGGACACCGACTGGAGAGACGTCCCGCTCACGGACTTTGCCGTCCCAGAGGACCTCGGCGAGGGGGGCCTCGCGCAGGCTGGCGGCGCCGGGGCCGCCCCGAGCGCCGCCGCGCCACTCCCCTGTGGCGAGGCTTTCCTCCAGAAGCAGGACCGCTACTTCCGAGAGCTCCTGGCGCTCCGCAGGCATGGGCTTTCGGCCTTTGATGCCTTCCAGTTGATGCGGATCTGGTCGAGGGGCGCCGGCGTCCACATCCAGCGGGCGCTCCCGCTCACGGCGGCGCGGGGCCGCAGGGTGGATGACGGAGTGGTCGCCATCGTCAACGCCCTTCCGGGGGTCGCGGCTGCCCCCCGTGAGCAGACCTTCATGAAGGTCAACGACGGAGGCCTGGGCTGTGGCAGCGCCGAACAGCGCGGCCCCGCTGCCCCCCTGGCGTCCTGGGGAGCTGGGATCCACGCGGCTGCCCAGGAGCTCCGAGAAACGACAACGATCGGCCTCTGTCGGAGGTGGCCAGGTCTTGGCCGTGCCCCCTCGGCAGCAGACGAGGAGCAGGGACGGCTGGCAGGAGGCCGCCGCCCCCAGAGTGACCGCTGGCAGGGTCTTCTGGAGGGGCGGAAGGGCAAGGGCCAGAAGACGTGCACTCAGCACGTGCGGGACCACGCCACCAAGACGTTCATGGCCGCGCTGCCAGTGACGGCGGCGGCGGCGGTGCATAGTGCCTCGGGCAGCTCAGCGGGCGCCTGGTTGGGCAACTTCGAGGGGGTCTCGCCCCTCGCCGACCACGCGTTCTGCATTGCGGCCAAGAGGCGCATGCACCTGCCGCTGCTGCAGTCCGAGTGCACGTGCCTGAACCGACCAGCAGCGCCCACCCGCGCGATGGCGCAGCATGGCCCGACGCGCGGCCGCACGGTGGACGTTCGTGGCGTTCGCGCGCTCAACTGTCCCAGGGGAGGCGGCCCGACGCGCCGCCACAATGCCATCCGAGATGCCGTGGCGCCCTGGTTGCGCGAGGTGGGCCACCGCGCCCTGGTGGAGCAGGTCATCCCAGAGTGGTGCACGGAAGAACAGGGCGCGGCCACATTGGACGTCGTCTACCATCGAGGCATCCATGGCCGAGTGTGCCTCGACATCAGCTTGGTGGACGAGGTGGCTGTGGCCCAGACGGGGCGGCCGCATCAGGCAGCCCTGCAGCGCAGAGAGAAAGTGAAGCACCGTAGGTGCCCATTTTCTGGCGTGGTGCCCTTTGTTCTCGATATCAACGGCTGAGACGCGGCTGCGCCGTGCCGCGGGGGAATTGCCTGAGGCCGAACGGCCCGCGGCACGCTCATCCCTGCGCTCGGCAGTGGCC